ATTTGGTAAAATGGGGGCAATCATTGGCCGACCATTGTTGGAAATAAAAACAAAAAATCCACTTTTCTTGAAAATGACAGCACATCAGGTGCCATGATTTCACAGGATGCTTGAGACTATTATTCACCTACAGTCAAGTAGGGTATTTCACAATAATTTGGTAGTTTTGTTTTTTGATGTTTGTAAATGTCATTACCTTTTAAATCAAGTAAGATCTTTTGTATTGCAATGTACCTTCAAATCAAGTGAGATATTGAAAAAAGATAGTTTTGTACATGTACCTTTTGACTAAATAAATTTATTTTGTCTGCATTCAGGCAAACTATCTTGCATTCTCAAAAAAAATTTGGGTAGGTATTTTGTGCAGAAATAAGCTTCCCAGGATTTCGGCATCATTCTAACAGTAGTTGAAATCAAAAGTTCTGCAAATGGCAATTTATGCAAACTGATACAGGGGGGAAAAAAAGTACATAAGAAATAACACTCTGCATGCCTGGTGGGCCAATCCTTTTAGCGAGTTCAGCCAAAGCTTGAATCCCCACCGTGTAGCACTTTGGGCGATATTTACTTAATATTGTGATTTTAATTTCAGCGTGCTGAATGGCTAGACTCTGCTTTCATTAATGCCTTAATTGGCCCCCGGTAATACACGACTGGTCTTCATGAATTTATATGGCGAGTGACTCGCTGGTGCCCCGCATGGCTGTGCAGTGTCACCAAAAGTCAATGTGATTATTGATATGTACAGGTGAGGTTAGAATTTTTTTTAAATGGTTGGGAAAAAGTGATTTAGCACATTTAATTTTTGAAAATCAGATTCGTGCAATTTAATGTGCTTAGAATGAACTTTCCAGTACCCAATTCGACTGAGCAGATTCGCTTGTGCAGGAGCCAATACGGTAAATGGTCGGAAATGTTAGTTGTACCGGTATGTCCGAATGTCATTTCATCCTCTGTTACTGAATGCACGCCTCTCTTCATCTCAACACACAGCACCTCATATAAATGCAGTTAGGAAAAAAATACCAACAACTTTCTATTTACATCTGAGCAACAATGGGAGGAATATTACATTCAATAGAGATCTCTGACATAATATGGAGGCCTATTTTTTATTTAAAATTACATTCACTCACACAATGGTATGTGTGTACGCGCCATGTGTGTTCAGCTGCTGAAACCACTCGCGTGATCAAAGCGATTTGGGTTTTCTGTGTCAAAATGGTGTACATCTCCAGCCACTCTCAGCGACCGACCTAATTGTGCAAATAAAACTCATGCAGGCCACTTAAGAGCGTATCAATGAACGCAGTATTGATGTCAGGAATCTTTAGATCATCTGTACCGGTAGCTTTTTTTTTTGGTCCCCAAAAAGAGGAACATCTCGCTCCCTGCGTCACTCCACACCAAAAGCCGGTAGCTGCGGGCGCCCGAGACAGGGATGCCACCAAGTCTCGCGCGGCCACTGGGTCGGAAAAGCCGCTTTACCTTAAGGCAATTACCGACTCTGATACAGTGTTATTTAATTTGCGAAGGGAAGCCGTGTTAAGTGCCCGACAGCGGCGGCAAAATGCCGCAGGGTTCTTTCTTTTTTTTTCCCTACCTGACTCTTCTCCGTAACAAGATTTTTGCCAAAAACTGGTAGCTTTAAACCCTATTCACGAGTAAAATATGTAAATATTTGCTCAGATCACTCATTTTCATGTGTGTAGACTGTAAGCGTATGTAGATTCACATTTCGCAAAAACCTTGCGTTACGGTTTAATCTGCACTTGACATTTAGTTTCATTATACTGTGAACCACGTACATGAACGTGCAAATATCCGAAAAGTATTTGTTCTTTTAATAATTGGCCTACATGTACCCTTATATTACTAACTGCCCTGCCATACCGAGTGTGTTTTACTTTGATTGAACAGAGCTACAATCTGATAATAATACAAGAAACAAAAAAAGCAAAACCTAGAAAACCAATCAAAGATAAAAGCCATCTTTTCCCCCAAGTGTAAAAATAGATCTGGTAAAGCTTTTATCTCTTGCCTCAAGCAAAATACATGTAGACCAATAAAAACTTCTTATTGATTAGGTAACCCACAGGGGAAACTTCCCATTTTGTTTTGATGCCATAAAAACCCACAATACATAGATCATTATCAGAACGGAAGTGAATCAAAGCAATAGCCAGCACGATAGAAAAAATATCAGACAGGCTTCCATCATCATCATTGCATTTTGAGGAACGCGACCTCGGGCAATTGTTTTACAGTGCCTTCTGCAGTTGCAGGGTTGCACAAGTTTTAGGTCTCTCAAAGGCTTATCTTTTTTTGGGGGGGGGGTAAGTTTTATCATTACTGTAACAGCTGCAGATATCTCTGCTGGGAAAAAAAAAATTACCTCAAAGGTTTCTCCTTCTCTAAAATCTCAAAAAGTCATGCTTTAAAAGATGCTTTCCAAATGTTATTTTCAAGTTTCACCCTGAAAAATAGACTTTATATTTAAATTGTTATTTTGCTAGCAATACAAAAGTTATTCGCTTTTGAAGGAGACGTCGGACATAAAAATCCGCCCCCACTTAGTAATGAAATATTTATAGGTGGGCGTGGACAAGCGGGAGTTTTTTTTAAATTGGCTTGTCTGGCTCCCAGACCTTTGTTCTTGAAAATCAATGGTTCTTGAGTCTGGAGTGCTGAATATACATGTACATGTATGTACCGGTAGCAACATTGAAAACTGGTGTATACATTAATAGTTGTTTTCATCAAATGACGTCAGCCTGCCCCCACCTATTGTACAAAATATCAAATTACCGGTATATGCAGCCCTACAATAATAATTAAGCATAACTATAATATAATGCATTAGGCCAAAAAAATATATATATTTCTGCTTCCGGTTTCCCTACCAACCCTATTCTGACAGCCCCTACCCTAATTTTTTTTATGGGAAATATGAGGAAAAAAGCCACCCAAAACCATCAATTTCTACTTTTATTCACTTGACTACACACAGACACCTCCATATGATCGTACACACAAAAAAATTGGCAAAAAAAAAATTTCCCTACCTACCTACCCTATTTTCAAATGCCATGTAATCGGAAGCAGAACTTTTTTTGGTGGCCTTATTGGCGCAAAAACAATCCATCTGAAATAAAAGCATGTTTTCAGAGGATTGCAAGCATCCAAATAAGCCCCCAAAACATCAAACAAAGAGCAGGAGTAGAGCAAACTTCAAGGAAAGCCCTCTACGAAACTTGCAAGAGAAAAAAAAAACGCACGAGAAGCTGGCACCTTTTCGATGGAATTGTTCCGTAAAGGAACCCCATCCAGTCATGGACACGCATGTGCAGTCCTGTATGTAGTAGAGCATTCTGTTCAAGCTTGCAAGACAGGACTTACAAGGGGCTCTTGAGAAGTGGCGAGTGTTCCCGACCTGGTTAGTTGGTCAGGTTTCAAGTACCCAAGTACCCAACACACAAGACGGGTATTGTATGCCAATAACCATTCTAGATACAGAGTTTAAGATTTCTGTGAAGAACCTCCGAGCGGATGTGTTGAAGTGATGCACAATGTACTATTTCACATAGAAAAACATTGAAAGAAAAACAGAAGATGCAAAAAAAGGTCAGTTTCTAGTACCATACATGTACATTTACAATGTATCATTGAGCCAAGGGCCATGGATTTAGCCATACATGTACATGTGGTACATGTAGCCGACACTGAGGAAATGGGGAAAACTTTATACTGTACACGTATGTTTGTACACGTTAAGTACATGTACACAACATGATTATTTGATTTGTGTAATGAAAAATTGCTGATTTCAAAGGTTCATAGTACAAAACAAAATTGCGCTTAGATACCGGTAAGTGCTTGTCATATGTACACGTATACATACATGTACATTCTTCTCTTATCGTTAGAAGCAACTTAATGCATTGATAATGATAATAGGCATTTTTAGGCAGTAAGGAAAACAGACAGGTCTCTAATTATCATTGCTATTATAATTAGTGTGTGAAGAAAAAAAAGGTTGGAATGTACAATGTACAAGCAAGTTGCTTAAGATATTGCCACTGTCTAGGCGAGGCTAAGGTACACACACTTGTATACAGTGCCGAAAAATCAATACGTGGCCATATTTTGGATACAACAGCTATGGTACTGTGGTTTCTCGGACAGGAAATTAAATCCAAATGACCTCTCCGTGTGAGAAAATTTAACCAAACACAACGACCCACGGGGGTTGGATTTGGGGTCAAGATTCGGATGAATCAGGTCACAGAACATCCCTGATGTGATGTATTTTTTCTAGGGGACAGAAAAATACCAGACAGATGACTCAATGTCACCTCGAATCCATCTGGACTTGTTTTTTGTCAGCATCTGACAACTATTTCATTTCAAGTTTAGTTGATATACTCCCAGTATAAATCTGTTTAGCCCGATAAATTCTCACCAGAGAAAGCAGTCTGCAAGTTGAGGGAATCAAGTGAATAATGATATTGCATGAGCAGAAAAGTCTAGCTCCTTGCTTGATTAGCTTCAGGCCAACACGACCCAGTGTGTTGAGCAGAAAAGTGTTCATAAGGTAAACAATTCTTCTCATGATTAACAACATCTATGGCAAACTTACTCAAATGTGTTGTTATGACAATGGTTGGGCCAGTAAAATTGTATGGACTGCGCTGGCAATACACACAAGAAAAAATGCACTTTGCACGTTATATCCAGTTTCTGAAAACCTAACATTCTAATATACAGTGTACAATGTAGAAATATACATGTAGAAATGTGAGCCACTGAATAAATTACACAAAGAAATACAAAGAATGGTTTCACTGTAAACAAAGGCTTGATGTCTGTGAATGTAACCATCAACATACACGATGAGCAAACATTACATAATGAACTGAGCATGTGCATCAGCTGTCATTATGACATTCAAGTTAAATAAAACTGAAAGCAGAACCTGAGAAATGAAAAACGATACATACCAACTTGATACAATCACGGTACAGCATACAACAAGACAGTACTTCTTTCCTTTTTTTTTGGATAACAAAATCCAAGTTCTGTTAAGTAATCCCACAAAGGACTTGGAACACTTGAGCCCAACCGAAGTAATATGTACACACACGCACGCGGTGTTGTCGCAGGTAAGGAGGTCTCTTTGTGCATGTGCTTTAAGAGCTACAGACTCGTGTGTGTGTGTGAACCAGTCACGGCTGTTACTGTCAATAGTGAGTACCGACGGCGAGCGATTCATGTACATGTATGGTGTGCCAGGGCTGGCAAAGAGTTGGAGCTTAACTGTTCAGCTATGTGGAAGGTTCCATTCGGCTCGGCAGGGGTGTGTGTGTGTGTGCACACGCGCTAGACAGAGGGACGACAAAGTGTCAGTGTGATAATCAACTAGCAATTGTGGATGCTGTGGTTGAATTGTCTGCAGCTTTTGTGGTTTCTCCCCTGGACCTGAATAAAAGGCGGCGACGATTGGGTTTGGGGTTTTTACATGTTACCAAATGCTGCTGATTTAGTCTTTTCTAGAGATGTGATACAGAAAATTAGCTGATCATGCCTGTAAAAAATCAGGTTATTAGGACCATAGAGCAAAGGATTCTGGAATTATTGCTGAACACTTAGCACTATCACTTTCCAGAGGATGTCCAGTTCAGTGGGTTAATGCATATTAAATATATATTATGTATAAAATATATTAAATATTTATTCACAGAATCAAGAAGACAATAATGTTTGTACAAATGTACATGTATGTTGCTTATGGGTGGATACAAAAAAAAACGAAACCGAGATATGATTGCTATAAATTGGAACAGAAGTAGGGCACGTGTGAATCATAGCAAGATATCCTCTGTTAGGGTTGAATGTCCTCTTTAAAATGACACCCTGGTCATGTCATTACATTCACGGTTGACTGAGCAGTGACCAATTTTATGAAAGGGTCTATTTAGAGACTTGCGCCACTTCTCAATTGTGGTTTTTGTTGTGTCAATTGTCACAGAGTGAAAGGCCATGGTTGCCAATCAAGGCAGGCGGGAAAAAAAAAGAAGAGATTTCACCATGAAAAGTGGCGCAAGTCTCTAAATAGACCCTTTCATAAAATTGGTCACTGCTCAGGCAACCGTGAATGTAAGGACATGATCAGGGTGTCATTTTAAAGAGGAGATTCAACCCTAACAGAGGATATCTCCCTTTGATTCACACGTGCCCTACTTCTGCTCCAATTAGCAATAATATCTCGGTCTCGGTTTTTTTCCATCCACCCTGTAGTTTGATTAAATATTTTTGAAAAGTTGGCCTTAGAACAGTCTGTAAGTACGTACACTGTACATTACTGTACATGTACAATGTACTTGTCTAGCATCTATACAGTGCTTGAGAAACAAGCCCTTCGTTTATTGAAGTGCTGGTCATTTTATTGGTTACAGTTGGTATCGTATCAGAACAACATGCAATTTTGTAAGCAAGTGTGACGTGGTCTATATGTAGACGAATCCGGGTACATTATCACAGTATACTCAAGAGGTCCCCATTCAATAGAGAAACCATTGTGACGCTATTACACCAAAAAAAACTGCCCTGTGATGGATTATCTGAACAATAGCTAGCACAATGCTTTCTCCATTGAAGAGGGCCTCCGTGATAGCTTTGAAAGCATGCCCGGATTGGACTGTACATATACATGTATGTATGCGACGCTAATGCTTACCCCTTACTTGCTGGGTTAATTAAAAAAGGGTATCATCCAAAACCACATTCCAAGAATGACAGCTAGAATGCTCTTGCCTCCCCTAGACACATGCTAGATGGTGCACCTCACCCTCATTATAACACACAGTCTGAACGGGGCTGTATGCTGGGAATAAGTCATATGGGCCTATTGATTAGTAGCCTAGTCTGTCTTGCAATCCTTCTCAATAATCCATGGCTTCATTGTTGTGGACCTGCGGTGTCCAAAGCGCAAATGTCTTGAGCTAATTATAATTCAACGAGGGGCTTTTTAACAGGCTAAATTACATTACGTACATGTACATGTACCAGTGTAAGTGTGTGTACTTTCTTACTGGTTGGGTAAATGTCCGTAAGGTGTTTGTGTGGCACAGAATAGATACATGCATGTGATACTGAATCCATGCTTTTGAGTCATTGTGAAACCACTATCCAAAATTTCCAAGATGTTTTGTTTTGGCTACAGAAAGTACAATGTGCAGATCAAATAAAACGTTGGCAAATATGCAAAGTTATACGTTACCTTATACACGTAGAGAGAGAGAGTGATCTGGTAGTCATGCTACAAGGTGCATGTACCGGTACGCGTACTTTGCCATAGTGTATCAATCATATTGACAAATCCCCCTCCCCCATGAAATTTGGAAGCATAGACACACTGAATTGACACTAACATCCTAAACATTATTCCTCTAGAGGAACCTTCATGAGCACTCTAAAATCTATTAGTGAGCAAGAAACCAATGTCATGTTGTTTGCACTTCAACTTTCAGGGGTGAACAGGCCATAAAGTAAAGTACAGTGTAACATTTTAATGGATTGTAATGGACTGTACTCTCCTCAATACAGCATGCACGTCAACCTAAAAAAATCCGGAATACAGTACATTCAGACATTACACTAACAATATTGCAAATTGGTGACTATCGGTAAAGTTTTGACCAGTGTTTAGTACCAAGATGTTCACATGAACGTGAATGCCAACTGGGAAGAATTTTAAGCTCCATACAGCAACATCGACCAAACTCGGCCTGTGAATTTAAATGTACGATATTTGGGTTTAAGAACTTGGCTGGTGCGTTTTTGTCAAAACATATGTGTATATATGTTTTCTGTTAAAAATGGACATGCACGCATACTGATGCCAGCAAAAAAATCCCCTTTTCAACTTACACAACATTTCAAGTGTCCACACAATTTATGTGTAAGTTCCAACAATGCACATTTAATGCAATGATGGAAGTGCCGGGTACCTGTCAAAAGACTTCTATCTGAAACAGCTTTATAATTCATCGGACGTTCAAAGATACATTTAAAGCTATAGTCCATCATTTGCAGCCATCCGAAAAGTAACTGACGTAATTATTGTTGAAAAACATTCTTGGTTGAAAGATAGTAAGTGGACTAAACTCCCTGTGAAATTATTCTTTCTGGCAAGCTGTCATTTTGAAGTAATCAACAAAAGAAGGCCTTTCCAACGGTGCGAAAATTTAAATTAGTAGTTCGTTTTGTTATTCGGCAAAGCGGGCGCAAGCATTGGCACGACGCACACACGCGCGCTATAATTCGTCGGATCAGTGCGCGACATCGCGTATAGCTGCAATTCAAAACATGATTCAGCAACTTTTGTTTTGAAATAGAGATCCTAGAATGCTGTTTTTCTCGGAATATACAGCTGAAGCCGAGCTGAAACTTCATCAGGTTAGTTGTTCAGTATCCTTCATTAGATTTTGAACACTTGTGTTGCTTCAAACGAACAAAATGCACGAATTACAAATGATGGACTACATGTATATCTTTAAAGTACATGTGTACAAGCAGTTTTTGTCTTTATCTAATTTCGTTATGCAAACAGAGTCGATCAAGCCAATGGATGCAAGTATTTGTTCATTTGTCAGCCATATCAAACAGTGTGCACACGTACCGGAAACATGTGTAGCCCAACTATAAAGTGTACATGTAATTTACGTGTAGTCGTGTGCATATATGCACAATATTTGCAGTAAAAAATGTTATGTAATATACATGTTATGTTAATGTACTGGAAACGCGGGTCAATTTTTCCAAATAAAAGCTGGTACATGTACGTACAGATTGTTGACCGTCGTTCATGGTACCATACATGCACTCAATGACTCGGCCTTAAATATTATTTCTTTTAATTGGAAGGAAAATCTGGTAATTTTATGGTGCCAGTTTCGACAATTTTGGTTCAGCAAATCAGGGATGAGATTGTCAATTTTGAAAAAAGTCTGAAACTGAAAGTCTGGAAAGAAAGATGCATATCTTTCTATACCAAAAATGTCTTTCTCTCAGATTCAAAAGTCTGATTTCGGACAAAAGGTTGAAAAATCTCATGCCTGACAAATGGAGAAAAAAAAAAGGTTTTTCGAACATGCTGACGTGAGCAATTGTCTTCGGTTCAGTTTAGTTCCGAAATGTCATTTTGGGCAAATTTGATTCAGTTCAGCAGTTCTGCAGTTCGGCAGCAGCACTATGTGAATTGTCAAATCAATCATTATTCCAACGCTTCCCTTTTAATAACATCTGTCAAATTCAAATGCATTGTTCTATTCTAACCACTTTCAACATGTGTAAGAATATCTTCAAACAAACGCCTTTTTTTAATTCAAACTGCCTATGTGTTTTCTTTTCTCATTTTGGCACTGGCAAAATCTTCAGATGAATTAGAGCTAATAAATTTTTGCACTACCAGATCGAGTTGATTTTCTACCTAAATCTGTCAGCCTTAAGTAGTAGATTATTTACGTGAAATTGGAACCCCGGATTCCCTCAATTCACGATGAAAATATGAGTTTCCCCTGCTGATCAATATGTGTAATCTGGCCGGCTCGACGCTGCCAACACTCGGCCGCTAAATAGACAGGTCAAGATGAGGCCTTCGGCAGGATTGTTTTTCCCTAACTCAAATGTCAGATTGTCCATCAAAATGAAAAGACATAAATCCTCCGCCGAGACTTATCCCGCGGTGAAACCTAATCGGGCCCTTGCCGCAACGCAGGGTCCCCTCGGCGCGGGGCTAAGCTTTTTTACTCCCCTTAATGTGCGCCAACAGTACAGAATCAATAGAGCGCAGGAATGCTGAGCTCTCTTGCTTTTATTATTATTTTTTTCTTTTCAAATTTTTAATAAATCCATTTTTTTCCCTGTATTTGAAACTTGAAATATGTCGTTTTTCAAAAAGGGATTTCATGTCTTGAAAGCAACAATATTCAAAATATACATGTAATACGTAAATTATATACATGTATGTACAATGTATCGTGTGTCGGGTGCGCAACTGGTAAGCGACCAAAAAGATGAAATTCCAAGCTTAATACAAGACCTGTATGCTGTTTTTGCAATGTTTAGTGTGAAATGAAAAACAAGAAAAATCAGCTGATCTGAGGAAAAGCTACCTGCCCGATGTACATGTATGCTGTAAAAGTAGTGAGCGACCGTCTTTACAAATTATACGGTGTACAGATGTAAGCTTTCTGACAATCAGTAAGCACTTTTTTGTGCAGATTTCAGATTCAGATT